GTTCGTGACCCGAATTGGTCGTGAACAGAAGCGTTCGTGACCCGAGTTATCACTGTATATGTTTTCAATTTTTTTGTGGTGACCCAAGGTCCTGTTTTGGTACGTACCTTTGTGAGGCTTTCTGGTGTAACCTTTTAACAAGGGGCCTCCAAGCTTTATATAGTTTACGGCCTCACCAAGTCTAAATCTGGCACTGATTTCAAGGGATACAGAGGCTGAAACATGAAAGGAAAACTGGGTCTGTCAATCCAGGAATATGGACAGAGATATCCAAAGCCTGCAAAAATCAGATTCCCCTCTCAGGTGGGTTTTAAAAAGAGAAAGGGGTGGGTCCATTCTCTCCTTGCCTTTCGCCTTTTGGTCATGGGAACATCTCTTCCTGGGATCAAATCCAGGGAGGCAGAACCTCAACCCAGGAGCTGCATTGGAGATCCAGGAAAAATATACCCATTTAGGGAACAGTCAAACTAGATGTGGGATTAGAATGTCTGGATTTTTGCTGATGGAGTAGTGGCTGAGATAACCCCACTAGAAACCATCGTTGTTTCCTTTTTTCCCCCTCTTTATCCTTTCGTGGTTTGTTTGTTCAAGTCCTCTATAGTTGTTTGAGAAAAAGTTCAGTTCTCTCTTTCTGAAAGGATTTTAACATCTCCGTTTGGTTGAGCTGCAGAAAAGGGAAGAAAGCAAGGGAAGCAGTTGCCCCTTCATCTGTTCTCAGGGAAATGTGACAGCATTTACCAAAATGGCCCTCCCCAGAAGTATGGGAGGGATTGTGGGAAAGAGTTTGGTGATTCCCACACAAACCAACCCACCACTTGATGGAAATATGCAGGAACCTGGGGAAAAGAGGTTGAAATGTTTTTTAAGTCCAGAACAACAAGATAACATTTGGAAGCGGTTCAGGCAGATGGTCCCTAATTCACTGAATTATAAGAAGGAGGAGAAGGTGCAGCCAATCAGACTTGCAAGATTCTCTTATTATTATAGCCAATCTCAATAAAAATAGTTTTAGCCTTCTTGTGGAGTTGATTTCCTGGTCTGGTCTACCTAGTGGGGCTGACTTTGCCCTCTGTTAACCTGACTGTACAGTCCCTCTTATATCCACTGCAGCTTGCTCTGGAATCACATGGCTGTTGATTGTTGACATTACTGGTATTCCAGCTCTGGGAAACTTTAGCTCCGATGAAATTCCCAACACTAAGGAAAAGAAATCTGAGAAATAAAGACTGGGAAGCAGAAATATCTATCTATCTATCTATCTATCTATCTATCTATCTATCTATCTATCTATCTATCCATCCATCCATCCATCCATCCATCCATCCATCCATCCATCCTCTATCTCCCCTCCCTTTCTCCCTTGGACATGCTTGTAAATTGTGGCAGGATAGACTTTATTTTCCAGATGAAATTCTGTCAAGATGCCCATTTGAATTTCTAAATGAAAATGCTATTTTTAGGCCCATTGTGGTGCTTTCTTCCTGTTTTCTGCTGATTTAACAGCAGTGTTACGTTGCGTGTATTTAGGCTAATACAGGATATCACTGCACAAGGCAATATGAAGACCTCATTTCCTGACCTGTGAATGATAATACAATGGGTTTTGGTCACATCAGTCATTCATGCAGTCTGAGGTGAGGAAAGATCATCATTGGTTCAGCTGGAGTGACAAGCAATGGGGGATGTACCTAACAGCCTACAAGTAAACAGGAATTTGCTATCCACTTTGGAATTCTCAAGAAAAGTCTGTGCCTGATCAGAAGCAGTACAGTGGTAATTGGTGATACGGTCTCAGTGAGAAGAAAGATTTCTATAACTCTGGTGAATGATATGTGAGAATTTGAAATATGAGAATGGATTTGTTCTGTGCACTTGAATATAGATATGGGGTCTTGAATAAAATTAGCCTTTCATGAATGAAAAATAACATCTGGTTCATCATGCTCCACATATCACTTTGCTATTTTGATTATTTATTGTTTATTAAACTGCTCATTCCTGAAGGATCTGCATAGCTAACAATCAAAAGCATCATAAAACAAGAAAATTCCTCTGAAAATTATAAATTAACTAATGGTTTTACTGTCATATACAGTAGAAGCAGAAGAAAAGATACTAAGCCATGTATTCACCATGTTACCTAAAAATCTCAACATGCCTTCCTCCTGGGCTAGATTGAATGAGCAGATCTTAATTGTTTTCCTGGATCTCTGTGGGGAGGGTGTTCCAAAGCATGGAACCAGCTATAGTGAATGGGTGAAAAGGACTGGCAGAGGTCAGTGTTCAGAAACAAAGTGGCATTACTGGTAAACTAGCTCTAGCTAGTTGAGCTCTGTTCTCAATAACTCTATATCCCTTCACAATACTTAATGCCTTGAACCAGAAGTCCACCTTCCTCCTAAATGTGTCATCTCTTGCTGAACACACACTTGTAATCATAATGCCTAGCTTTGACTATCCAGTTGAAGTTATTTTTGAAGAAAAAGAAGCATTGCAAAAAGAATTACAAATACCAATTGCTATTTCTTTTCCAGACGGAGTGTGCAAACTATATCCGAGTTCTTTATCCTTTAAATCGGACTCATCTCTTAGCTTGCGGGACTGGAGCTTTTCATCCCATTTGTGCTCTCATTTATGTGGGACACAGAGGAGAGGTAAGGAGACAACGTGCATCTGAGGCAAACATTATAAGTGCTATAGTGAAGGGTCAGGACCCTTTTCTGTTAGGAGCAATTATGACCTGGGGTGGCAGATGGTGAGTTTTGTCTGATTGAAAAATGTGTCTTTGAATCAGTCTTTCTTTTCAACTGGGAGAGCCAGTTTGGTGTAGTAGCTAAGGTGTGGACTAGAAACCTTAGACAGGCCATGAACTCTAGATCTCTCTTATTCATTGAACCTGGCTGGGTGACTTTGGGTCAGTCATGCTCTCTCAGTCCAACTCACCTCCCAGGAAAGTTTCTGTGGGGAAAACAGGTGGAAGAAGGATGACATATGCTGCCTTGAGTTGTACAAAGTAAAGGTAGGATATAAATGAAATAAAGGAGATGAAGGAAGATTTGATGGTCAGGAAAGAGTTCCTAAGCCCTTCCTTCTCTTGTGGAAAATGGTACTCTCTTATTTTATTCATTATTATACTTATAGCTCCCCCATTGCTATAGAAATAAAGGTGGGCTCCTTGGGGAGGGGGCTTCCCTCATTTATCCTTACAAGTAGTTTGGATTGAGAAGTAATTATTGCCCCAAGGTGTCCCAGTTGAGTGGGGACTTGAACCTGTGTCCTTCCAGTCCCATTCCAGTTTTTCAACTACTACATCACATCAGGTTTGCCCCATCAACTCCCTTGCACTTGTCTTGCCTTCCCTCACCACTTCCAGGGCAGCTGCAAAGAGATCAAAAGCTGCCTGTGGTAACATTATAGCTGGCCTTAATGGAGGTGAAAAGAAATAATTCAATTTCATACCCTCTGGATTGAAATGGATTCACTTTCACTAAGCATTGTTAAGAATAATCACAGTTATCCTGGTTTTCCTGACTCATTAAATCATAGCTACACAAACATGTAAATGAACATAATGATACTGGAGAGGGAAGGAGAGTGCAGGCCTGAGAGGAAGCCAGGATAATTGTTATAAAATACTGAACTCTAATGTGGTGTTACATTCAAAGCGGCTCAGTGTATTAAATGCAGTAAACTATAGTTTTGCAAATAAAAGAAGAAAAAAGACCTCTTTTGGATCAGACAGAGATTTAATCAGACTAGCATCTTGTTTCCCAATTAGTTGACAGATGTCTCTTGAAACCGTACAGAAGACTGGACAAGCCTTTGATATGATCTAACAGAGCTTTTTGTTTTTGGTATATATACAAGTCTATTCATTTAATGCAGGAAGATTGAATGGTGATATTTCCATTTCCAAGAAGAAATAATCAGTGCAGAAAGCAACTAGGTTTGTAGTTCCTCATGTCAATTGTCTTATATCATATTAAATTCAGAAAGGCTGAATTTATGGGCTTATGTTTCTTAAATAGGAAAAAAACTCATTGATTTCTCAGTTCAGTGCACTTAGCCTTCTTGTTTTTCCAGCTTAACATAGCTGCCCTTGTAGAATTTGTCCAACCTTCTAAGCATCCTAAGAAATGAATGTAGGACCTATTAAGCTGTCAAGCTGATCAATGCATTGCTCCATTCATATCTAACTCCTGCTTATACTGCTTTCTGTCTCTGTCTCCTTGCTGCGCTCTTTTTAAAAAACCTAACCAAGCCAAACCCCATTTGCACACTCTACCTGAATATGTTCATTCAATCCTAGGTGTACTTAAATGGAAAAGAGCTGTACAAACAGTGTAAAATGGGGACATATTAAAAAAAGTTGTGAAGTGGCAGGTGAAATTGCAACCGGTATAATGGTCTAGATTACTATTAAGCCACCTGTCTCATGTTTGGAGGACAGCATGAATATTGGCTGTATTTCTCCTTGTAGGCATATATAGATTATCCTGGATGTGAGCTACAAGTACTGTAGCTTCCAAGAATGGATTCCTTTGAAACTGTGAGATCTATTATGGAGCCTACTAAACCCCCTGCTTCCCCTGGGGTTTCTCACATTTTTAAAGAAATCTTTTAAAGTTTAATATGCTGCAAAACAAAACGACAGTCTCCAGCATTGTCTTGATTTTCAGAAATGCTTCTGGACCCCAGATAGGCCCCATAATCTTTTTCTAAAAATAAAAAAGGTGGGTGATTGCCATCTGGGCCTTTGGTCTGTGCACATCTGCTCAGGAACAAGATAAAGATAGTAGAGAACATCTGGTGAGAGAGAGCCTTTACATCCATCTGATAATGTGGTGCTTTGTAACTGATTGTGTTCCCCAAATTAGTCATTTGGTGCTTTGCTAGTGCTCTCCTCCCCAGCCAGGGGCTTCTTGGGGAAGGATGGGTCAAAAAGTCAAAGGGTCAAAAACTTGTGGCTGCCATCTTGATTTTTTTTTTTTAGTTTCTCGTGAACCCCCTTGCTCCTCTTGTCATTTTGCTTAAGTGCCTACAACATGTTCTCATAATGCCCAGGTTTGGGAGCCTCACTGTGGAAAATAACAGTTCTCTTTCTGGAATTGGTACCTGTTGATCCCATTGCTCAACATTCTCACAACCAGGAGGACCAAGTCATTCTATTTGTTTAATATGTATATCTATAATTAACTCAATCTCTTGGAAGGCTTTTGGGCTAGTTCCTGAAACCTTATGGTAGTGTCTGTGTGTGTGTGTACACCCATATATGTGATACACATCTATATATACATAAATTGCAATAACCTTTAGTGTAACAAGGTACTAATAAATGTTTGCATTCTATGAAACTCAGTTAAAATGTCCAGTCTAGTGCTGTGAAGAACTAATAGAAATAAAATCAAAACTAACCAAGAGTTAAAACCAATTAGTAGCCATCCAACCCAGCGGCCTCTCATGAAAAACACCCTGATCAACAGCCAGATATAATATCTGTGGGTGGCATTTCTTGTCCTTTCGTCATTAATCAAGCTGGCCTAAGCAGGAAGGTCGTACAACTTCACCCCGTAACCCCTCTTGGCTCTGGCAATTTCAGAAGCTTTTATGGCCGAGCCTGTGGGAGAAAGGGCCCTTTCAGCACAGCTGTTTATCATGAGCCCTCAGGATGATCAGTTGGACTTCTCACATCATCACACCCCCTGCCCCAATGTTCAGAATGACATCACCCCGGTTTGCCATGCAAAGCAGAAACACAATCCAAGCCTGTGTTGCGCCTGCGAGTTGTACTGAGTGTGGGTGTGTGGAAAGCCTGAATGAAGGGCCCACAATTAGGTGGTCTGAGGAGATTGCTTTGTCCAGCCAAGGCAATGACTCAAGGGGAATGGTCAAAAATTGCAGAAGTAATGTCAGCATTGCAGTTTTCAAAGGAGGCAATTTCATTAAGCGGAGGGATATTTCTTGAAATTGAAAAGGATAAGGCCCTGAGGTTTTAGCACAAAAGATATTTAGCTAAAAGATTTCCTTGTGACGGAATTTGAGACATAAATGGTTCTCTCTCTCTCTCTCTCTCTCTCTCTCTCTCGCTCTCTCTCTCTCTCTCATATAATACTGGAACTAGGGGTCACCCAATGCAGTTGAGTAGAGGAAGATTCAAGACAGGCAAAAGGATGTGCGCACACAGTTCACAGTGGAGTTTATTGCCACGGGATGTGAATGGCACTTTTTTTGGCAATGCTGGGGCTCGTAGCTTGCATTGGCTCTGCTCGCTCTCTCTCTCTCTCTCTCTCTCAGCTCTTCCTCAGCCTCTGCTACAACCTAACTGTGCCAGGAGAGGAATGTAAGCAACTTTCCTAGCAGCCACTATTAATCCTTCTAGTCAGTTTGTAGTCCATTTCACAATCTTTGTTAAAACATCATTGTTGTCATCATCAATAATAACAAACAGTTGCTTGGTTTGATTTTCCTGCTTTTGGAAGCATGTACACCAAATGGTTGCTTCCTCACATCTCCCAGTCTTAGGGCTCAAGAAGGCCTTTGCTCTCTCCTTTCCCCACCCAGCACACAGATGCTCTACTGTGCAGTTGATAACCAGGGTCAAAGTTATTGCTAAACATTCCATTTTGCCAAAATGTCACCTTGCTGTCCTACTGGAATCACAGTGAGCAGAGAGTTTTTAATTTAATAGAAATAGAAGTAATGATGTTATGAACCCATAGATTGATATGTTAGTAAAAACAAGCAGGGGCTCACTGGACACTTCCTTATAAAGAAAGCAGGCAGAAAGTTGAGAGCATTGGGGAGAGACTGGCAGTTGTCAGGGACTAGAATAAAAAGAGAGGAAGGAAAGAAAATGGACATAACAGAGAGGAAAGAAAGAAGGACGGTCAGTAATTGGTGATGTTTGTAAATAATCATTAAGTTCTGAAATATCTCTATAGAGGAACAACTTCTACCCTATTCCATTTTTTCATACAATGTTACTGTATTGTTCAAGAAGAGAGGTAATTTCACTGTAAGAACATATTTATCATTTGAGATGGCAGCAAAGTTTTGCTCTAATAGTATTTATCACTAAAATAAATTTAGAAGAAATTCTGCTACTTCTGACCAAATAAACTCAATTTCATCATTTTTACAAAATGGTAGGTTGCCTCCCACAACAGCTCAGGGTTTTGTGTGTGTGTGTGTGTGTCTGTATGTTTTGCAAGTGGCCATAGAGATGCACAGCACATACGGAAAATGTGATATGGGGAGGGGGGGTGTTTGCATGTACGTTCTTTTGTATGGAGTAGGGCAAGGGGATTTTTGTGGCAGTTTAAGGGGCAGGATACTGTTACATCATAGTATGCTGGGCCAGCAAGCTGGCAGAAATAAAGACAACTGAAGGTTAAGTTTCAAACTGCAAGATATTGGGAATTATAAACAGTGAAATTTGTACGGAATGGAAATACCGTAAGTTATTTCAAGAGTTTAGCATTAGGCATGCCACCTTGAATTTCTGAATGAAAGGTGGGATATATATTTAAGAAACAAATAAATAAGTAGACCTCTATTTTCACTTGTAATTGTATCATTACAATCTAGACTAACCTTCCTTTTCTTCAGTTTTCCAGATGTTTGCAGATTCTGTAAGGTTGGGATTTCTGGAACTTATACTCCTGACCCATCTTTTGTAAGAAGGCTATGTGTGTAAGAAGTTCTGTGGGTCATTGGAGATGTGACAGTGTGACTGGTGGGGCGGGGGGGAGAGGTGAACTTTTCTAAAATGCTCAGAATTCCTAAAGCTTATCTTGTACAGTTTAATTTTTTCCTTACTGTTCTGATCCAATTAATTTTTCCAATTAATTTCGTGAGTTTGTCCATTATTATTTTGAAATGTTGACTGACAAAATTGATAGGAAGACAGTGGGACAGTGTTAATACCTTGTTTGTAACTGATTTTGAAAAAAAGAATATTTTTTATTCCAGTAACACACGCCAGCCAAAATAATTCATAAATATATAAACATTCCAAGATCTATTGACACTGAGAAAGCTACAGGGCTAATAATGTGTTGAATTTTTCTGACATCAGCCTCAGTAACTTGATTTTTGCTTACAGTAAGAACAAAAAGCTGCTGTTACTTCCTCTTGGTGAATCTGTGCTACCATGACAAGGGTTTCCTTACTCATCCTCTGATCTGGGCACCTCATTCTTACCTCATAAACACTTCCACATTTCTTTTGGCTCTGTTAGCCTGGTGTGGACACCTAATTTATTCTTTTTGCCATTTCTCTTCCCAGCATGTGTTCAGCTTGGATCCAACAAGTATAGAAAGTGGCCGGGGCAGATGTCCACATGAGCCTAATCGGGTGTTTGCAAGCACATTTTTTGGTAGGTGCCAAAATAAATTAATCTGAATCCTGTATCCTAATAGCTGCACATGGATACTTACTATTTTATTATTTTATGTTTATATTATTTTTTCCTGCTAACTTAGTCTACATTTAAGACACTAAGCGAAGAAGTGCTGGAAATAATTGAAAAATAGGATTGTCTCACTTCTTCAAGCGTCGACCATTTCTGGCCGGCAACTTTCAGCGTCATTAAGCTGCTGCGCCACCGCGTCCCCTTACTCTGGGTGGCATACAAAACAGAAAAATAACAATAACAATAATGAAAGAAATTTAAAAAGCCCAACAAAATCAAAAACAACACACTACTGAGGCTGGATTCCTCCAAAGCCTTTCTTGAATTCTTATGTAGAATTTGCTGGGCAATTTCTGAATTTGTGATCTCTATAATAGATTTGTGTTCTGTTGTATTCTCTAAGATTACCACTTCAAGTGGACAAATACTGAGACCAATAGGTTTAGAGAGAGGGTGCAACACAGAGTCCCCTTCATGGATCACTGCCTTGTCGTGGTGAAGGGGCTTGCGTAACTCAGTGAAGCCA